CACTCGTTATGTTATCTATGTCAAGCAGAGTACTTATAATAGTTCTGTTTGGCAAGTGATTTTTTGAATTTTTTTTTGACTAAAATTTACAAAAAGACAATAAACTAAAATAGTCAATAAGATAAAATGTCACATCAAATCTATAATTATTTTGTTTTTCTCTTACAAATATCGCATCCAATTATAAAAAAATTCAATTATCTTTCCAAACACAAAAATTTTAACGTATTTAAAATAGCCAACTTCCCAAATGAGGCGAATGAAAATGTGGTGGTTGAGAATACTAAAAGGAATATTATGCTCACCGGTGATGGAATGGATTTGACAGGGCCGGCCTTAAAGTGAGGCCACTAAGGCGGTCACCTCGGGCCCCTAATTTTGAACAAAATTTAGGCCCCCTAATTAGGAAAGTGTATCATGTCGTGTTATTTCATAATTACTTTAAAATTAGTTCAATTCATTTATTTTCGTATTGTTGTATGGTATTATTTTGATTCGTGTCCGATTGATATTTAATGTAAAAACTTTTACTTTTAGTTAAAAATAACTTAGCAAGTGTATGAAAAGATTAAAATTTTTCCCATAAGTTGAAGTTTATAAAATTTATTTCTACTAAATGAAATTATTCATAGAATGTTTGATTTTAATTCAATTGCATTTTTCTAATTAAAAAAATTGTACCTTATTACTATATATTTTTTATTAGATTGACTCTAAAATAGATAACAAAAAAATACATATCTTAAATGAAAAAAAGATATTAACCTTAATTATTATTTTACATACTTTTTTATTCAGTTAGATAGAGTTAAATAAAAGATTAAAAAAATGGCATCGCATCCCTTAGTGAACATTAAAATATATAACTAATAATTCATATTATTGAATCGTGTCATACTTAGATTCATGTTGAAAAATAGTCAACCTTAACTTACTAATTTTATATATTGCTTGAGTTGCGTCGAAAATTCTTATCCTTACTCCTAATTAATTTTAGTTCTTATAGCATTGGTAAACTAAAAAATAAAGATTCGATTCAACTAATTGAAGTTCAACTATTTTATACATATATATATATATATATTTTTTTTTGTTATCTAAATTTTGTTAAATTATAATGCAATAGAAATAAATTTTTATTCTTTTTGTTTTATCCAAACAATTTTTTTTTAAAGTAATGATACATAAAGAGCCCAATTTAAAAAATTTACCTTAGGCCCCTAACAACTCAGGCCAGTCGCGGGATTTGACCATCATCACTGGTAGCTTGAATTTTGTTGATGGAGTTACAACCTTCAATTTTGCAACTGTCGCTAAATCATCTTACTCTTTCGATTTTAGGTTGATGTGTAGTTTTCCTCCAATGATCTTACTGTGTTTCTTATTAATAAAAGATATGTCAATAAAATACATAACTTAACTATTCGAATTAAAACTGAAGAACAAAATGATATTAAAATCACAAATACTAAAACGTCTTAATTCTCTTTTAATTTTAAATATAAACCATTAGAATAACACAATTGTCACTACCTCAGCATTAGATTAATTCTCAAGTAGAACGAAATTCTGCCCTTGTTAGAAATTGGGCGCCGATGTGACATGACCCTTTGAACCTGAACCTTTTGAACTTTATCCATATAAGTTTGAATTTGAATTCAAAACTTATTTGGATAACCATTCAGGATATCTATATCTATCATATCAATAGATATGGATAGATGGATAGATAGATATTGGTTAATCTAAAGATATACGTATATCAGATATACGTTATGTGGTTTTTACTCATAACCATTTTTCCCATACTCTCTCTCTGACTCTCTCCCAGATAACAATGATCAAGCCAGTGACTTGTGTGGGTGATACTCATTTTGTAGTATCACTCCACTGCTGGGTTCGTTGACTGATCAGATTTTGGAAGCACGTGATTTACCCACGAGGTTGTGTCATTAACGTATGATCCGAATTATTTTTATCCGCTGCGTTAATTTATAATGCTTTATGATTTACATTGGTATCAGAGCCTTATATAGGTTTTTTCGTGCTTATTTTTTATCCATTAAAATATGTGTATTTTTTTTATATATAAATATATACACATTATATGCATGAAAATTAATGGAGGAGGAAGATGAAGTGCACGGTTTTTTGCACTTCAACTCTCATTGATTGAGAATGTGATACACTTCATTTTTATATTCATTAAATGTTATTTTTAATGCCATAAATGTTTTTATTGTGAAAAATGGAGTCCGGCAGTACAAAAATCGAACCAGAAAACATCCTGGAAGGCGAAGCGTGGGCCTCACGCGCCACCTGACGCTGTGGGAGGCTTCCACTCGCCTCCACGCGCTCTCACGCGCTTCCGTGCGCTCTCACGCACCTTCGCGCGCTGAGACGCGCTACCATGCGCGCGCTGTTCCGCGCTGTCCACGCGCGCGTCCTCCGCGCTACATACGCGTGCCGCGTGCTGAGCTAGGCGCCGAGTCGCGCGATGAGCGGGCCCCAGGCCGAGCCGCGAGCCCAGACGCGTTCTGAGCCGCGCCGTTTTTTCCTCCGCCGGCTTGGCTGCTAATGCATAAGGCTCTGTTTGTTCTGTTTTAAATTTTGAATCGCGTTAAATTGCCATAATTAATTCGTTATAGCTTTGTTTTAAGCATGGTTGGTACCGTTAGACTCAGAATTAAATTTTTTATCTTCTGTAAAATTTTGAAAATTTTATAAAAATAAAAAATATTTTTCCTGAAATAATAATTCAATATTTCTGGTTTAAAATGCATCTGGTGTTGCATGATTAAGTTTCTGGGGCTGAATTTTTTTTGTGGACTATTGTTATGGTTTACTATTTACTGGTATAGTTGTAGCATTTTACCAGATTCTGAAATATTTATTTCTAATTTTATGTGTGTTTATTAGTTATTTAAAATTCTAGAAAAATTTAGAAAAATTCCAGAAAATTTCTGGATGATGTACATTCTATTATGACATAATTTGAATATTTAATACAGCATATTATTTTTTTAGAGTTTCTAATATGTTGTAATTAGAAAAGCATGATTATTTATTTATTTATTTATTTGAATTCCATTATTAAATGAATATAGCATGAGTTATTTGTAAATTTACATTAAGATGCTATTGTATGGAATTTATCATGCTTTGTATATGCCATAGTCAGTGGGAGGTTATTCGGTTGAGAGAAATCTTTGTAGATTAACTCTCGAAAACCAATATTTTGCGCATAAATTAAACTAAATTTTGGATAATTGTCACTTGTGGCGCAAGAGATGATTACGAGCATAGCGGATTTTCGATCTTGCGACTTGTGTAATATTGTCACTATTTAATTTAGATTTTTGCGGCAAAATTATATTATGCTAATCAAATTAATCCTAATACGAATTTCTCTTTAAATTGATTTAACTTATAGAAGTTAATTTGGTTGACCTAGACTTAGTAGAGATGTTCAAATGTGAACAATGTAATCCCATTCTTTAGATAAGCAAAAGTCTTGGAGACTTTAGGTCAAGTCTTAATTGAGTCAAAGTAAGGAAACATGACTCAAAAGTCGCCGTGGTTTTGTTGCCTTGTTTGGCATAATAAAAACTAATGTGTGCGCTATGGTTAGCGGCACGCTACGTTGTTTTGGTTGGCGAGTTTTGGAGTTATGAAATTAGTAAGCCCTCAATAGATCTGTCTATGATCTTGACCATTGATCTGCGCGGATTGACTTTGTAATTTGACTTGTAAATAATGTTACATCATTGGATGAAGTAACATTCAAGAGTCACGTCATCCAAGAAATGTGAGCTTAAATAAATTAGTCATTAAGTGTAAGACGAGTAGCCAGTATGAGCAGTGTTTTACTCTCTACCCAATTATTGGGAGTACATGGAGCAAAATTTCATGCACTATAATAGTGTGCGTTGAAATATCACGTGAAGTGAAATGATTAGCGCTTAGTGGTTGCAAAATCTATTAACACTAAGTGAAAAGATTAGCGCTTAGTGGCTGCAAAATCTATTAGTATTGCCAACTTGTTTAAATCTGGACACTTATTGTTTTTACACTTGAATGTGAGACATGAAAGTGAAAAGATTAGCGCTTAGAAACTGCAAAATCTATTAGCATTGCCAACTTGTCTAAGTCTGGACACTTACTGTTTCCATACTTGAGTCTGAGACATAAGGAGGGGCTTCTTTGTATGATTCCTTAGCCAGGCTAACGTTTTTGAATAACGTTTAGCACTAAGCGCAAACGTTGCGGCATAGTGATAAAAAGGTCAAGGCCGACAAGGTTGTTATGACTCTAAGAATTTGACGCATGGCTCGTGAGAGTATTGTGTTGAATTAGACTCTTCAGCCTAATTCGCGCTTAAGTTACTTCAGGAGCTGTCATAGTTGATAGCTTATTCTCTCCTTCTTATGGATAGTAGAATTAATTGCAAGTAATTATGAAGCGAGAAATAGATATGGCAAGAGGAGTATCGTCATCTTTCAACTAGATGCAGTAAAGTGTATGGAGAATAAAATTGACTTAAAGGTGTAGGGGATTAGCACTTACTAGTTAAATTTGCGACTTAGGCGCACTTGATATCTCCATGACATCCTTTTATGATCTAGTGAACATTAATTAGTCGTGAGTCATTACCTAGTTGGGCCTAAACCTTTAAAACTTGTCTTCAAGAACTCATCTCCCCACTAATAATCTCCTCATTATCAATTCTCTCCATTATACCTTTGAAAACAAACGAGTACTCTCGATTGAGAAAGAATAGAAATGAGAGTGAGAGAAGAAATTGGTGAGAATAAAAAAGATGAAGAGAGAAGAAATGGTTTTGATCCCAAAATTAAAAAATAAAAATAAAAATGTATTGGTTAATTTTTTTTAGAAAATGTTTTAAACATGTAAAAATAATAATAATAATAATAATAATAATAAACTCTCAAAAAACTATATCCAAACACCACTTAAAAAAATGAAGGAAAGATAGATATAAGTATTTTGTTTTGTGGGGGTGCTGTTGAGTTGACCTCTAATTTATTATGGTGCATCCCCTGAACTTGTGTTTTGTTGCAAAAGATTGAATAACTTCAGATGGTTCAACAAACTATTGATTCCAAGTTTAGTGGATATGGGATTCCAAATACTGAAACTGGCTTGGCCAATCAAGATAAGCAACTGCCACTGCCAGTGACTGCAAAGAAAATGGCACTGAGAGATTTGCAGAATGAGAATAGAATTGCAGTGCCCAAATCTTTGGGAAGCTCTTTATTTCCAAAGGAGAGTGGACCCACAATCAAGGCTGTTAAGGCTTCTGGTACCAAAAGGCCTGCACCTGAGTGTCTGGTGAGTGCACCTCAGCACCAGTCTCCAACCAGTAATGCTGCAAATGGGCATCTTGTGTATGTTCGTAGAAGACCTGAAGTAGAACTAGCTAAAAGCAGCATCTTTGATAACACAAACAGTAATGCCTATTGCCCACAAGCAAGAAAACTAGGTGACCAGGATGAAACACCGCAACCAAAATCCCAGATGAAGGAGCCTAAGATTTGTGTTCCAGAAGTTGCACCTATTCCAAGGACTTCTTTGATGTGCTACTCATCTGGAAAACCATCAGTTCCTCCCTCTATTGGGAAGTCCAGTAACATTGTACAACCAACAGATGCTAATTATCTTCCTATTTCTTCTTCTACCCCTCCATTGGATTATCCAAAGAAAATGAATAACCAGCACTGGGAAGAGCGATATTGCCAATTGCAGGACTTGTTGAAAATATTGGATCAATCAAATCAAGAAGATTATGTTCAGAGTATGTCCTTGAATTTCAATGAAATGGCTTTTGAATGCTCTCTTTTCATTGCTGTGATTCCTGTATTACTGATCTGCATTGTGTTTTATCCATCAGTGCTTCGATCCCTCTCTTCAGTTGAACTTAGCAGGCATGCTGTCGAACTAGAAAAGAGATCAATTCAGCTTTCTTTGGAGGAAGGTAATATAAATTTTAACTTGTAGCTTTTGAATTTATGAAACAATTAAGAAGGATATTAACATGCAAAATTGTACAACCAAGAATAAGGATATAATATGCACTGAATCTGCCCCTCCCAGAAAATGGGCACTATATCATGAAGAAGTTGTTTTGGTTCTATTGAACTTCCGATCTGAAATTTCCCTCATTTACTTCATACAACTCTTATTTTTCTTACAATCTTAAATATGCTTTTATGCTTAATGTCAGTGCCAGGCATTGTTATTTGCTTTTACAAGGAACTTTTATAATTTATAGTTGATAACAATGTGCTAGGGTACTGCCAATGGTATGTAGGTCGTACATCTGTTTTCTTTTATTTTTTGTGGAGAATGGGTATTGGAAGCTGCCACCATCAGGTTCAGATTCTTCGAGTTTTCTCTTACATAGAAAGGATTTATTAGCATCTAACATGGGTACAAGGTGCCAAAAATGGTAACTTTTTGAAATGGAAATTGAGACTATTCTGAACACAGACATAGGTGGTGGGGTCTGAGACAGACACCAGCAGCAGCCTAACATCATAAAATAGGTAAGACTTTGCTTCCATAGGTAGTCCTTCTTTTAGGTATATTGTGGACCTTGCTGTTGTATGAATAATAAATTATAGTATGATGATATGCCATCTGCTCTGGAGTTTTAGGGTTTAAAATTTGGTATCTCGGTTGGATATCATGGATTAGATGCTAAATATGCTCCCCATGTTGGATTCTTATTGACAGACTATTTGTAGCAAAAACTGCTTTTAAAATCATCTATATTATTATAAAGGGCCCGTTTAAGAATTGGCTATTTTAGTTGGTTTTTTGGCTTTTTACGAAAGGATGCACAGAAAAGTAGGGAGAGTGATGTGACAACTTGTAGTGGCTTTTTGGCTATTTTCTATACTTCCCAAACAAGGCCAAAGATAGAACACTAGTTTGGTGTTTCCTTCTTTTGAATCCCAATAAATTTTTTGCTTTTCTGGGAAAATGTAATTGTTTAAAGTAAGCTATTCTAGGAATTTTCTTATCATTTAAGAATGTGATTTAAAACTCCTATTCTTTTGCAAATATCGAGAAGTGGGAAATTGATTGACTGATTGGTGGGGGTGAAGGATGAGAGAAATAAATTAGATTCCGTGAAAATCTCTCCCACTTCATTTTTTTGGTTAAACTGCTTATGACTGGCCACATTTATACTTTCCATCTCTTTTCGATGCTGCATAGGCGTAGTGTGTGCATTCCCTCTATTGTTTAACATTCTTCCATAAAAATTGTGTATATTTACTAGAACTGTTGTGTACTTTATAAGGTAAAGAGGTGGCTAGTTTGTTTTTAGCCAAGGAGGTGGTTATATACAGGGCAATTTACGCCATTACTTCAGAATTACAGTAAACGTTAAAGGGTTCAATAAACAATTCAGATAGTGATAGTTTTGCACGCACAGTATGATGGAATTGTCTATTTTTACCATAACCGCCTCCTCTCTGCTACAATTACCTACTTTTTCTGTTAGAAAGCTAAGGTAGAAATAACATAGCTACTTTATACTGTCTACAAAAGGTTATTGTCACCTGGTGTGTTGTATTGCATCGTTTGGGATGGGGTTTTGTTTGATTGTTCCATTTTGTGCAACCATTTCGTCTGTTAATGCAGGAATTTTTGCGCTTCTGTTATGGTAATGACTATTTTGTAATAGCTAGTTTTAAATGTATTGTCATACTGCTAATTGCAAGGTCTCTAATATTGTCTTTTTGTCTCAAAGCAGCTGACCATACTTCGGTTGCCATAGGCAACTGTAAAACTTAAGTTTTTTTCTTTTGATTTTATACTCTTCCCCTCCTCTTTTTACTTTTCCATTAATTCTGACCGATAAAAATAGGATAATGATTATTCCAAAATTTATTTTTGTTGTATCTTTAATGGTGACATTTCAAGTCATCGTTAATTATGATTAGCATACTGGATTATATCAATTATGCTTAAGATAAGATCCCTTTCCTTAATTGGTTTTATTTGTTTTCTGATTTCTACAAGTATCATATTTTTTGCTGCAACATGATTTTTTTTTTGGATGGATGTATATTTTTGATATTGGAGATTGTTTCAATTTCCATTTCTCATTGGACACTAGGAAGGCATATTATCGAGGATATCTGAGAGAGGTAGTCAATTCAGCTGAAACAACCCATCCAACTTCACATATGATGTGATATCCTGGGTTTTGCGACCTTACCTAAATATAAGGTTGGGTTTTGCAGCAATCTCTTTTTTTCTTTTTTTTTAATAACTCTTAGATGGCATTTATTTTGATACGAGATATTTCCTAGGATAGTTCTAGGAATGTATTTTCTTTCTATGCTCTGTGGGCAAAATCTCTCAGTGAGAGATCTTACAGGCCATTGCCTAGTGCTGTGTTCCATTTATGTGGGTTGCCTAGTGTTGGACCTAGTTTTTGGCATTATTTGCTTGAAGTGGTTGCTCTCATACTCAAAACTGTGTTCTCCTGCTTTATTGTCCAAATTTTGACCATTGCACTAAGCAAATCACCAGAACAATATATTGGAACTCTCAAGTTCAGTTGATGATGAAAATGGGGGAGATGTGCAGCCACCTATTGAAGATGTGGAGGATGATGCTAATCCTAATGAAGTTGAGCCAGAAATTGAGGAAGAGTATCTAACTCAAGAACCGCCACCACAACTTGAGTTGAGGAAATCTACAAGGGACCGACAACCTTCAAGAAAGTATCCTCCTAATGAATTTGTGTTGATTTCCGATCAAGGGGAGCCCAAGAGCTACCAAGAAGCAATTGAGCATGCAAAGAAAAATGATTGGAAAAAGGCTATGGAAGAGGAGATGAATTCCTTAGTTGAAAATCACACTTATGATTTAGTGAAGTTGCCTAAGGAGAGGAAAATTTTGAAAAATAAGTGGGTCTTCAAATTGAAGAATGATGGCAAGAATCTGAGGTACAAAGCACGTCTTGTTGTGAAATGCTTTGGGCAAAAGAAAGGCATTGACTTTGATGAGATTTTCTCGCCGGTTGTGAAGATGTCTTCTATTCGGGTTGTACTTGGCAGGGCTGCAAGTATGAACCTTGAAGTTGAGCAACTTGATGTGAAGACCGCATTTTCTTCATAGTGATCTTGAAGAAGAAATTTATATGGAGCAACTGGAAGGTTTTGTGAAAAAAGGGAAAGAAAAATTTGTTTGCAAATTGAAGAAAAGTTTGTATGGTCTCAAGCAAGCACCGCCGCAATGGTACAAATAATTTGACTCTTTCATGATGAATAATAATTTTTCTAAAACCACTTTGGACCATTGTGTGTTTGTGAAAAATTTTCCGGATGGTAAATTTATCATTCTTTTGCTTTATGTTGATGACATGTTAATTGTGGGTCAAGATTCTACCATGATAAATAGGTTAAAATTGAAGTTGAGCAAGTCTTTTTCTATGAAAGATTTGGGACTGGCAAAGCAAATACTTGGTATGAAAATTGTTCGTGATCGCAAAGAGGGGCTGATTTGGTTGTCTCAAGAAAGCTACATTGAGAACGTTCTTAAGAGGTTCAACATGAATAAAGCAAAGCCGGTTGGTTGTCCACTTGCGGGTCACTTCAAGCTTGGTTCGAATCAATGTCCTACAAGCGAGCAAGACAAAGAAGAGATGTTGAAAGTTCCTTATGCTTCAGCAGTTAGTTCTTTGATGTACGCCATGGTTTGTACAAGGCCGGATGTTGCTTACGCCATTGGTGTGGTGAGTCGTTTTCTCTCTAATCCGGGTAAAGAACATTGGGCAGCGGTAAAATGGATTCTAAGATATCTTCAAGGGACTTCGAAGGTGTGTTTGTGTTTTGGGGATGGTAAGCCGATGCTTGATGGGTTCACAGATTCTGATATGGCCGGTGATATTGATTCTAGGAAATCTACTTCGGGATATTTGATGACATTTGTAGGGGGAGCTGTGGCATGACAATCTAAATTACAAAAATGTGTTACTCTCTCAACTACCAAAGCTGAATTTATTGCCATTACGGAAGCTTGCAAAGAAGAGTTATGGTTGAAGAAATTTTTGCAAGAGTTGGGTTTTAAGCAAGAAAAGTATGTGCTTTATTGTGATAGTCAAAGTGCTATTCACTTGAGTAAAAATTCTACTTTTCATTCGAGATCGAAATACATTTATGTGAGATACCATTGTATTCGTGATGTGTTAGATTCGAAATTGTTGCAACTCGAAAAGGTTTACACAGATGACAATATTTCGGATATGTTGACAAAGACTTTGTCGAGGGACAAACATTTGAAGTGTCGAACTTTGGCGGGTATAGTTGATGTCTCCACCTAAGTTGATAGGGGGAGAATTGTTGGGGTATATCTCCTTATTGGAGTGTGGGACCCAATAGTTTATTAAAAGAGTTTAATTTGGTTTGGTATTAGTTATAATATATTTTTATATATTATATCTAATTTTGTGGAGACCCAATTCAATTTGGATACAACTAGAGTTTTGATTAAAAAACTCATTCATCAACAATATATATATATATATGTATATTGTTTATGTTTTGGCCCCGTGGGAGAAAAAGAAAAAACAGCAGCAGCAAATTGATTTTGGTGAGATAGACTTTGGGTATGATTTATTCGGTGCTTTGCGGCTGCTACAAATTGGTTCCATCTCTTCGGAAGTAGTGATGCTACTGATTTGCTTAGTTCATTGGTGCTTTGAAACTTTTCAGTGCATCTTTGGTTGGATGCTTTGGTGAAGTTGATTTGGGTCGTTATTTTGGGTCTTCTTCAACTCTCGTTTCGAAGATTTTGGTTCATCTATTTGGTGAGGTCTTTCCTCTTGTTTATTTGTGATTATTTGGAATTCACCTAAGGGTGGTTTTGTGAGACCATTCGTGTCTCGTTTGTAATCATTTGGAAACTTATTTGGTTAATAGTGGAATCGAATTTTGATCCCGTGGACGTACCTTACATTGAGGGAACCACATAAAAATTCTTGTGTTGCTTTTAATTTAATTTTTCCGCATTAGTTTTTATTCCCATTGATTGATTTACTTGTGGGGAATTATAGATTTTCCCTAACAACTGGTATCAAAGCTTACAGTTTATTTGGATATATTTATTTGTGTAAATCAATGGAGGGGAATGTGGGTCGTATGTCTAACTTCAATGGAAGCAATTGGGTAACTTGGAAAACTAAAAAGAAGCAAGAAAACACAACGGCAGTTACTACCGATGATCTCATGATTGTTTGTAAAGATGATTGTATCAATTTTGTGGGTCAAGAGAGCAATTGGGTGATTGATTCTGGTGCTTCATTTCATGTGACTTCTCAAGTTGATTTCTTCACTACCTACACCGAAGAAGATTATGGTTTTGTTCGAATGGGTAATGAAAGTTTGTCCAAGATTATTGGCATGGGTGATGTTTTCTTGGAAACAAATTTGGGCTGCAAGTTGTTGCTTAAAGATGTGAGGCATGTTCCCGACATTCGCCTCAATTTGATCTCTACTGGGAAGCTAGATGATGAAGGCTTCAACAACAAATTTGGTGATGGAATATGGAAGCTCACAAAGGGTTCTTTGGTGGTGGCTAAGTGTAAGAAGACTCATACACTTTATTCGATGCAAGGAAAAATTTGTAAAGGTATTGTTAATGCACTTGAAGATGATACTTCTACCGAATTGTGGCATAAGTGGCTTGGCCACATGAGTGAAAAGGGGCTGCAAGTTTTGTTCAAGAAAGAGCTTTTACCCGGTTTGAAAGGTACACATCTTAAAACTTGTTTTCATTGTTTGGCGGGTAAACAACATAGATTTTTTTTTCATAAAAATGTTGCCTCTAGAGAAGAAAATGTTTGGAGTTGATTCATTCGGATGTTTGTGGTCCTTTAAAAGTTAGAATACATAGTGGTGCACTTTATTTTGTTACTTTCATTGATGATTATTCAAGGAAAGTTTGGGCTTTTCTACTAAAAACTAAAGATCAAGTTCTAGAAGTATTTAAGCATTTTCAGGCCATGGTTGAAAGAGAAACAGGGCAGAAATTGAAGTGCATCCGATCAGACAATGGCGGTGAATACATTGGGCCATTTGATGAGTATTGTCACAACCAAGGTATTCGGCACCAAAAGACAGTTAAGAAGACTCCTCAACAAAATGGGTTGCCGAGAGGATGAACCGCACCATTGTCCGATGTACCAAAAAAAGAAACCAGTAGGACCAGGGAATTTAATTTGATTGCGAAAACTGAAGAAATTTGTCTAGTTGTGCACTCCTTTATTTGCCTTGAACCTTCCCTTCGGTTTCCTCTAGTGAACGGTAAGTAGACTTTCCAAGGACTAGCACCTTCCCTTCGGTTTATTTAAGCAGCTTTTCTGGTTGAGCTCTGAACATGAGAAAGGGTCAGCTTACACAAGTGAAATAGTGGAAGGGGAAAAGAGAGCTAGAGAGAGGAACACTAAGACTAAGGGCAATGGTGGTGATGGTAATGATGATTGTGGTTTCTAGGATGGGAGTAGTAGAAGGGCAGTCCCCCACCCCTTTCATGGATTGCTACGTCGGATGCTTCATTTTATGCAACATCATACCTTCTTACACTGCTTATGAATGCGCTCTCCAGTGCCTCAAGGACTGCGTCGTCCCCACAACAACTCAAAGTATCCATGGTGATAAGGTTAACCACCAGTTTTGCAAGCTTGGTTGTGCTTCGTCCTTGTGCTCCAAATTATACTTTCTAATATAACACTCCAAAAAAAGATGTGAGATTCTTCAAATCATTTCAAAAAGAGTACCAAAATTCGTTAGTAAGCTTTGGGTAAATTTATAATTTTTAAACTGTGAGTATTACGTTTGGAGAAAAGTACATTAAATAGCTTTTTAATATTTTTTTTTTATGTATTACATTGGAGTGTTACGTTTGGGATTACATTAATTGAAGTGTTACGTTTGGAAAAAGTACAT